CGCCTTCACCACTGTCCCCACCACCATTGTACCCTCCACTGTCCCACTGTTTCCACCTCATTCCCACTGTCCCCACACCACTGTCCCCACCACCACCGTCCCCACCACTGTCCACTGTCCCCCCTGTTCCCACCATTGTCCCCACCACTGTCCCCACCACTACCGTCCCCACCACTGTCCCACTGTCCCACTGGCCCCACCACTGTCCCGCTGTCCCCTCACCACTGTCCCCACCAACACCGTCCCCACCTCTGTACGCACCCCCACTCGGTTCTCGAGGGGGGGGGGGGGTTCGAACCGGTAGTGACCCCCCCCAAGTTTTTTTTTGGGGGGGGGGGGGGGGGTCGAACCGGTAGTGACACCGCCCCTTTTCATGATCAGCTGGGGGGGGGGAGGGGTTCGAACCAGTAGTGACCCCCCCCGGTTTTCCGGAAGGGGGGGGGAGGGGTTCGAACCGGTAGTGACCCCCCCGGTTTTCCGCCAGCAGCGGTAGAACACGCTCTTTCATATATATATATATATATATATATATATATACATACATACATACATACATACATACATACATACATACAAGACTGCATTGGCGCTTCGCGCCATGCACCGTGGTCCTCGAAGTTTGGCGTGCAGGCGGAACTCGCGGCGGACGGGCAGGAAGGTAAAGCAGAAACAATAGCGATATCTCCTCGTTGCATTGTCCCACGTCGTGATCATAATGATGTCACTCGCTATCCTTCCCTCATGTTTCCTCTTCCTCTTCCTGATTCTCGCCCTCCCCTGCGAATGCTTCCCTGTCCTCCTCTGCTCTTTTTGCGCAGGCTCCTCTTTGGAGAGCTTCTTGGGGGCCTAACGAAAATGTTACATGGCTTTGGGGGGCCTTCTGGAGACCTCCTGGGCGCTTTCAGGGAGCCCCTAGGGGCTTCCTCGGGCCACCCTGCTTCCAACTGCAGTCTCCCTGAACGACCAGGTCACGCTTTGCAGTGCTTCGAGGGGCGTCGTGGGGCCATCTTGGGCCGTCATTGGGCTCTCTTCGGGCCACCTTTGGGCCATGTTGGGTCGTTTTGGTGGTCTCTTATCGGCTGCACGTAAGAGTGACCCTGGGCAAGAGTGACCTTTGGTGCGCGGCTTTTTGGGGGGCGCGAGGAGGCCAAACACAAGCGCGCAAGACGCTACTATCGCAACGAGCGCGGCGATCGGGGGACCCCAGTGAGCGGTCACTCCGGCGAAGGGTCACTCTTACGTGTAGTCGATCTTAGACTGCCTGGAAGCCCTTTCGGCTAGTTTTGGCATGATTGTCGGGCCTCTTTGGCGGTCTCGGACGTCTGAAAGAGCGAAGAACAGAGCATTCCTAAAATCATGCCAAAACCATTCGAAATCAATATTTTCCTGCACTTCGAGGGCTTCTTGGGGGTGTTCTGTGGGTCATCTTCGGACGTCTGGTGGGTGTTTAGGGCCGCTTGTGGCCTCACGGGGCTGTTTGGCCGCCCTTCTGACCGCTCCAAGAGCACCCAAAAGCCTGGGAACCTTCTGCAAGGGCGTCCACCCCCGGGGACAGGGACCTGGGGTTCCCGTTTAGGGGGGGGTCGCAGGGTCTCAGATTGCACAAATATAGAAAAGGGTAAATGTGTGTATGGGGGAATAACGCGCGTGATGGCATAGAGGGTGAAAAACACCTCTCCAGAAATCACCAAAGCCAAGGACGTCAAAGAGAGCGACGGGGAGGATGAAAGGGCATTGCTCAGGAGAGCGCGGGGTAAGCCAGCCCGCTTGATTCGCGTCTCCAGACATTGACCCTTCGGCTTAGAGGACAGAGGTTCGAGGATCGAGGTAGAATAACTTTCTGATCTTCTGGGGGCCTCAGGGTTTTCCAGGCACGTCAAGGGACCCCGGAGACCTCCAGGGAGCGTCAGAGACCTTTCGAGGCCCAGACACCGACCCTGCTACCCACCATCGATTCGCAATTGAATCATACTTCATTTGCCACATTTGACGGTGGACCCGCCATTGGTTCACAGGTGGTGCACACTTGCTCCGCCAAGGATACACGACAGACCCAGAGCTGATGTACACTCGATTCACGCATGACCTGACACTGAGCCCCCATGAAATCACGCCTAGTCAACACTTGACTTGGAGCTGATGCGATCCTGAGCCACAGTTGACTCAGAACCTGCCCACAGCCAACTCACAACTGGGGGACAACCCACTCGCAATGGATTCGCCACTGCCTCACAACGGCAGTCCACGGCCACAGCACAGCCGAAAACCACCCGAATCGACAGCGAAACCGCGACCGACAGAAACTGATAGCCACAGGCAGCCAAGCCAACGAGGACGCACCTGCGCAGAGGCGATACAACAGCCGACAGAACCGAACCCACCGAGCGCAACCGACTGCAACGCAGTCGAAACGACCTAACCCTGCATACCCCTGCCCCCAACCGAATCACGCCGCGGCATCACCGCTGCTGGGGCACCACAGCGCACCGACGCCGCGACCACCACAGCACAACGACATCGCCGCACCGCGACGCCGCGCCCACGACGACCCCGCGGCACCGCGGCCCTTCGGCACCGCGACGCTGCGACCACGGTGAGGGCTAACGTCAGGAGCCCTTTCTTTATTGTTGTTCGCGGTAAAGCCCGTGACAGGCCAGGCCCCCCCCTGATCACGTCACGATTCGCGCCAGCGCCGTGTGGAAATGAGCCATTTCGAAGCATTCCCCGACGGCGCTGGCGCGAATCGAGACGTAACGACCAGCCCCCTCCCCCCGTCCCCTGGTCACGCCAGTTATCGCCAGGGGCTGAAAAGCTGTCTCCAGAGGGCGACCAGCTCAAGGGGGGGGGGGGGGGGAAACATCGAGATGGCAAGGCGATACATCGCCGATAGATCGGCGATAGGTCCGCATGTTCCTGTGCCCTTATAGGCTACCAGGCCCCCATCGGCGATGAATGGGCGATTGTAGGTCTCTGCATCGCGCCCTTAGCCGATCACCCAATAACGTTGACCAGACACGCGGCACCGCGCGGAATGCGCCCGCCACGGCAGCAGTAGCAGCAGCCGCATGCGCCGAAGGGGGGGGGTCGGGAAGAGGCCCCCTAAGACGGCTCACTTGAAAGAAGAAGAGCCAGAGATATGTGCTATCTCGCCTTTCCGCTTCCGAGGGGCCTCTGGAACCTCAAGATCGCGCCAGCATAGCCCAAGAGGGCTCAAAGAGAGACCCAAGAGGGCTCCAAGACGGCTCCACGATGGCCCCAAGAGCACTAAAGAGCGCCACGATAACGCTCCAAGAAGGCCCCGAAGGGCGACATTTCGGACCCAAGAGATGCGACCCGAATTCCCCCCCTAAGCTAATCGACGTTATCCAACATGGCCCCGAAAGGATCCAAAGGCCCCCAAGATGGCCCCAAGAGAGCCCTGAAGGCCTCCAAAATGGACCCAAGCGGGCCTTAAGATGGCCCGGGCGAGCTGTCGTGATGCTGCCATATCGAAGGACCCGAGAAGGCATGTATGGTTGATTCCTTGGCCTGCACGGGCTGATCCCGAGCCTCGCTTTGACGACTCGACTGTCCCCCTCTTTGTTCCACTGTTTCTCCCTTGCACTCTCCTGATCGACGCGCCTCACCTGGCAATCGCTTCTGGATGTGCCGGTGGGGATACGAAAAGCGTCAAGAATCTAAGTGTTGCTTCTACCCGCGAGAGCGTTTTCTTATTCGGCATTTCGACATTGGACATTGGGCGGATGGGGGGGGGAGGGGAGGGGGTCTGGTTCTGGACCTCTGCTTAGTGCGACTGTTTGCAGCAATGCGTCCTGTGGAGGAGGCCCCATCTGCTCGAAGCAGGCGCCCAAAACACCCAAGATCGACTCCATGGGGGGGGGGGGAGGGGGGGGGCGAGGGCCCGCGCCGATCGGCAAAACAATCAATAAGAAAACGATCACAAAAGCGTCAAGAATCGAATTGTTGCTTCTGCCCACCCAGCACACTGCTTCACAACGTCGACCCCTAGAGGTCCCGCCAAGGAGGAGGAGGAGGAGGAGGAGGAGGAGGAGGAGGAAAAGGTCTCGCCCCATCCCTTGGGGACGGGCTTTTCCACCTGAGTCCACGCTCGACGGCCCCAAAGGCCCAGCGAGGGCACCCATAGACACGCCGACCGCAGCAGCAAAAGAGGCAGGCCGTCCTGCCTGTTTGTTCCTTCGCGGCGCGAAGGGGACGCCCCTCCGCGAACCCAGAGGCTCCCGAAGCGCTCCCTGGGCGTAGTGCATCGTCTTGGATCCACGTTTGACGGCCCCGGGGCCCGAACAACGGGCCCCAGAGGCCGAGATCGAGGAACACAACAGAAAACAAACATGCAAGGCACGCGCGGGCACTGGCAGAGCAGGTGGGGCGAAGGAGCCACGAAGGGTGCGAGGGGCGTGCCTGGATGAGCGGGCGGCCGCGTGTGGACGCAAGCACTGGGCCTTAGGTGGTGCTCCCCGTGGAGCCGCGAAGCGTGCGAAGGGTGTGCCGACATGGGCCCAGGGGCGCTGGGTGGCACCACCCCTTGGGGCTTCGGTGGAGCTCCCGATGGGACCCCGAGACGCGTGAGGGGCGTGCCGACAGGGTCACGCGGGGAGCAGAGGCAGGGAAAGGGAGGAGGGGAAAGGGGAGGAGGGAGGAGGGAGGAGGGGGAGGAGGGGGGGAGGAGGGGGAGGAGCGGGAGAAGGGGGATGAGGAAGGAAGGGCAGGAAGAGGAGGAGACGGGGGGGGGGAAGGCGGAGGAGAGAGGAGGGGGGGGAGGCAGGAAGGAGAAAGGGAGAAGAAAAGGAGGAGGAGGAGGAGGAGCGAGGAGGAGAGAGCAGGCAGGAGGAGAAAAGGGAGGGAGGAAAGGGGGGAGGAAGAAAAAGGAGGACGCGGGGCGTTGCCTCTTCGAAACGAGACCCAACACCATGGGATGGCCAGGGAAAAAACATCGACAATGCCAGGATTCTGGGCGGCGCGGCGCCCGAGGGCGGGCGCGCCCGGGGAGGCCGGCTCGACGGAGATGGCGAGGCACCGCAGCGGCACCTGCCGCGGGGGGGCCGCGCGATGGGCAGGCTCGCCGTCGCCCCCCGCCATCCCCAGGAGAAGGGCGGAGGCAGGGAGGAAAGGGGGGGAGGGAAAAGGAGGTCTGCGGGGGGGGCAGGGCCGAAGGGGGGAGGAGGAAGGGGAAAAGGACGAGGAGGAAGCAGGGAACAGGAGGAGGAGGAGGAGGAGGAGGAGAGGAGGAGCAAGAAGGCAGCAGGAGGGGGAGGAGGAGGAGGAGGAGGAGAGGAGAAGGAGGAGGGAGGAGGAGGAGGAGGAGGAAGAGGAGGAGGAGGGGGAGGAGTCCGGCGCCCAAGGTCGGTCCCCCGAAAGCCGGCCGTGTACTGCACAAGCCCAGCCAGCGAACTACCGCCCGGAAAGCAGCAACAGCTGCGCAGAAAGGGCATAGGGGGTGACCACGTCGCCTGTGAAGACTCGCGGCCAAGCGGTTCCGACATGGTGCGTTGGGAGCCAAAGGCATCCCAGTCGGAACAGCTGGCACGGCATACTGACGAGCACAAGCTCCCCAGCCCTGGTTGGGCACAAGGCCCCTTGGGACTCACGTGGCACAAGCCACCGCCTCCCGAGGAAATGCCGATCCCTGAGGGTCAGATCACAATGAAATGACCGCACAGGCCCCGCTACCCGCCTTCACCAGCAGGGCCATGCTGAGACTGGAGCCGTGCTACACCCAAAGACGGGAGACCCGTCGATACAGGTTTCGCAACGTCCACCCGAAGCCCCAGAGCCCGCGGTACCAGAAAAATCGGCCGGTTGCACCCCGCCCAACCAGCGAAATAAGTGCCGTGTACATTGTACACCGAGGGTGCTTGGTACTGACACCATGAAAACAGGTGCCAGGCCTCACCGGAGGGGCGGAGGAGGGGGAGGAGGAGGAGGAGGAGGAGGAGGAGGAGGAGGAGGAGAAGGAGGCCTAGGAGAAGCGAAGGAGGAGGAGGAGGGAGGAGGAGGGAGGAGTAGAGGTGGAGGGAGCATTTAGGGATTTTGAAGAGGAAGAGGAGGAGGAGGAGGAGGAGGAGGAGGAGGAGGAGGAGGAGGAGGAGTGGAAACCCAAGACTCATCAACGATGTTGGAATAAACCTTGCCTGCGCGCTCCCTCTGCATAGCCCCCTACTCATGTCCAATGAAGGAATTGCCCCGCTGAGAGACAACCGTTTGAAGATCCTGAAGCGTGCCAAAACACGATTGATGACGCCACGAATCAAGATGACTGTTGCGTCTTGACAACACTAAATCGAACCAGATCACACGTCCTGGGGCTGCAACACCGCGAATCAACAGAACTGCTACGCCCTCACAATCCTGGACCCTTTCCCAAACACCATTTCTGGCACGCTGAACATGGGAATCCGTGAAACTCTTGTTTCTTATTTAAAAGAGTGCGCGCGGCACTGAGGCGAGGAACACATGTTGAGAATGAGCCGCCGTCTATCCGCAAAACTCTTAGACTTCTACATGAAACAAGTGCGCGGCGATACACCGAGAACCACATGTTGAAAAAGACCTGTCCTCAACCCGCGAAGCTCTGACAAATTTTCAAACCGAATGCGCGCGGCGCTAAGGCGACGGCCACATGTTGAAAACGACCCGCCCTCAATCCGCGAAGCTGCTGCCAGTTTCGACGCTTCAGAATCGAATCGTCGATCGTGAGAAAGTCTCAAGCAAAACGTTCGGCCCGTTCCTTCGAGTGGCATCGGAGCGCGGAGGGAGGAAATTATGTTATAAGGAAAGCCGAACGGAGGGAGAGGAAGATGAGGAGGAGGCGGTCTGAGTGGAAGAGGTCGAAAGAATTGTAGGGTGGTCGGGGAAGGGCAAGGAGGAGGAGGAGGAGGGGGAGGAGGAGGAACTAGACTTGCGGGTGGCACGGATGCACGCTGTAAGTCAGAATGGCAACGGCCGCGCACGCGTGCTCCTGTTCGAGTCGAGGCGACCGGGCGATCGAGAAGGCCCCTCCGAAGCACTTCGGCCACAGACGATCACCCGCAATGAGGTGCCAGTGCACTGGGCGCTCGGCACTACTCACCCCTGGCTCAGGAGCCTCAGCCCGATCGGGATGCCGAGAACCCTGGGGAGTCCTGTCGGCTCGTTCATGGCCAACTCGTTCGAGGGATGAGCTGACCATGGCCAAGGTCGCGAATCGTGAGAGCACCCCACGGCACTGAGAGCCTAAAAGCAGGCTCCTTACCCGATGCGGGTTCGACCGGCCGAGGTTGCCTGACAGCTGGGAGCAGGGTGTTGCTCGTGGGGGCCCGGCACAGATCGTGCCGTCGCACTGATCGTGCCTTCCAGCCAAAGGTCTTTCCCTGGCTCTGGTTCTGGTGTGTCGGTGGTGCCTGGTAGGTGCCGACGGTCGTAGCTGGCCGTTGCGGCGCTTGCGCAGCTGCGCGGCTGGAGAGCCCCCGCGCGCCTGGCTTCGTAGGAGCGCAGACGCAGCTCGTCCAGCTGTTTGCGGCAGTGCGTCTCTCGCTGCTAGGGCTTACCAGATCGCGGCTGTTGACTGGTCCGTGTGTTGGTCTAGTGAGTGCCGAATGACACCGACGCGGCGCGTGCTGTCTGAACACGGCCAACAGCACTGCAGTGTCGCAGGTGACCAACTCGGCAGATTGCAGCTGTCTCCGCGTCGGCAGCACGACATCTTGCCGTGGCGCCCCTCGGTGGCGAGAGGCAGCGGACCGGGCTGGGGCCGACTTGGCTCTGGCGCCCGGCAGTGGCCGCTCGCGGGACCGGGAGGGTCTTGGGGCCTGTGGGGGCAGATTTCCCACCAATAAATCGGGGGGAGGAGAGATGGGGAGGCCCTCCTCCTCCTCCTCCTCCTCCTCCTCCTCCTCCTCCTCCTCCGCCTCCTCCTCCTCCCTCTTATTATGATTCCTCCTCCTCCTCCTCCTCTTCCCCCTCCTCCTCCTCCTCCTCCTCCTCCTCCTCTCCCTCCTCTCCTCCTCCTCCTGCTCCACTACATCCTACTCCTCCACCTCCTCCTCCTCCTCCTCCGCCTCCTCCTTCTCCTCCTCGTCCTGCTCCTCCTCCTTTTGCTGCTGCTGCTGCTGCTGCTGATGCTGCGCTGCTGCTCCTCCTCCTCTTCTCCTCCTCCTCCTGCTCCTCCTCCTCCCTCATCCCTCCAACCTCCACCTCACCTCCACCTCCACCTCCACCTCCTCCTCCTCCTCCTCCTCCTACCTCCTCCCTCCTCCTCCCTCGTCTTCCGCCTCCTCGTCCTCTCCTCCTCCCTCCTCTCCTCCTCCTCCTCCTCCTCCTCCTCCTCTCATCCTCCTCCCCTCCTCCCTCCTCCTCCTCCTCCTCCTCCTCTCCTCCCTCCTCCTCTCCTCCCTCCCTCCTCCTCCTCCCCCTCCTCCTCCTCCTCCCTCTCCTACATCTTGTAGTGATGGTGGAAAATCGGCCCATCATGTGGCGGGCGCGGGAGGTCCGGAGGAGGAGGAGGCGGCGGCGGCATGGGCGAAGGAGGGACGTAGCCAGGCTTGTGCCAGACCCGCCGCGGCATGGTACAACTCTCCCCTGGGGATGGGCCACCAGATGTCGCCCTGGTGGGCGCGGGCGTGGCACTGTGGGAGGGGACGGCACTAGTGGGAGTCGGGTAGCACACACACACACACACACACACGCACACACACACACACACACGCACGCACGCACACACATACACCCACACACACACAACACACACACACACACACACACCACCACACACGCACGCACGCACGCGGCACGCAGCAGGCAGGCACGCAGGCACGCAGGCACGCAGGCACGCAGGCACGCAGGCACGCAGGCACGCACGCACGCACGCACGCCCGCCCGCACGCACGCACGCACGCACGCACACACACACACACACACACACACACACACACACACACGCGCGCGCGCACACACACGCACACGCACACGTACACACACACACACACACACACACACACACGCGCGCGCGCGCACAAACGAACGCACGCACGCACGAACGCACGCACGCATATACACACAAACACACACACAAACACAAACACACACAAACACAAACACACACGCACGCACACACACACACACACACACACACACACACACACACACACACACACACACACACGCGGCACAGAGGATCCTCATGCGCGGACGGCAGATCGAAGTGCCAATTGCGATCGAACATTGTCGAAGGCACAGTGCACAACCCGTGCACACTATCAAATGCAGCGATCGGTGGTGTGAAAGAAAACTGCAAATCCAGGCGAAAAGTGCAGCGGCCAGAGAACCGAGGAGGCAACTCAACTCGAGGTAAACTGAAGCGCAAGCAGTCGGGTGCGAATTGTACGCCATTGAACCATCATACAAAATGTTAGACAATGAAGCGCACGACTTAAGAGAGCTGTACAGGCTGCCAGACCAGCCAAAGTGAGTGCAGCGAGGAACGTAAACACACGCACACACACGCACACACACATACACACATACACACACACACACACACGGACACGCGTATGCATACAATTGCGGTGACACCAAGACAGCTGTGCACGCGCGCTGATTCAAAGTCACGTATATATGTGCAACCGCATGTTGGCACTGACGCGCAGAAGTAGACATGCGCGGCCCATACACACTTGGTTGCGTCTACAGGCGCTGACGAAGTACTGGGGTGCCAGATTTGGTAAATACGACCGCCACACTCGGTGAGACGTAAGAGTAGAGCTGTGGGGACTAGAACTTGCATGACGGGGCCGTCTGGAAAATGACAGAACCTGGTTTGAAATTGGACGCACGCTCTTATGCTGGGACCGTCACAAAGCATCGGCAAACTCGAGTCCCAGCAAACTCTAGTCTCACGCTTCCCTAAACACACATTTGAGACTCACCGTCGTGCTTTTCGGACGCTGCAGAGGCAACTAGATGGCATCGCAAGCGCCACATCCTGAGGCTGCACAGACCTCGTCGACTACAGGAGCAGTGCAGGTCACGGTCACGCTTTGGTGCCCTTGAGCTGCGAGCGGATGTCGTCTATGAGGAAATCCTCGAGCGACCTCGATTCCCCATGCATGGAGCCTCTGCACAGGGGGCAGTTGGCCTCCTGGGATCGACCCCTGCACTCTCTGGCCCAGCAGTCGTGGCAGCGAGCGTGGAAGTAATGCCACGTGCGGCACCTGCGCACCTGCTCGGGCGGCATCAGCTCCGAGAGGCAAATGCTGCAGTCGACTGCCCCGATCGTGGAGAGCCACCGCTGCGTCTGAACGATTTCGGCCTCGAGCTCCTCGGCCTTCTCGCGCACCGTGGCCTGGAACGACTTCGTCGTGGACCAGCCATGCACAGCAATCCCCGTGGAGAATACTGCCCCGACAACGCCCAAGACGCGCGAGGCAACCCCCGCGGTGCGAGTGAGGCCCAGAGCAGCCGCTTCGCTTCCGCCGGCGAGGGAGCTCTCGAGCCCCTCTGCCACAATCTTTGCAACAACCAGCCCCCCCTGCACCACCATGGCGCCCTTCAGCGCAGCATCTTCTACGACGTCCAGGGAGACTTCGCCTGCGCTCACGGCCTCTCCGCAGACGTCTCGGGCCATAAGCCACTCCCTCTCGAGCTCTGCCACGGCCAGCAGGTTCCAGACGTACGCTGACATCTCCAGGCGCAGCTTGGCCAGCAACGTCTGGTCAGCGACTGCGTCGCCGACGGCGGCGCCGCCGCCCGTGAGAGCAGACCCCAAGCCCAGGCCGACGCCCAGCGGTGGCACCACAAACATGGCGGCCGCGGCCGCGATCCCGAGCCCTGCGCTCAGGGTGTTCCCGCTGTTGACCGCTAGCCACTGCCTGCTCTGCTCGGCGTCGATGTCCCTCAGCGTGCCCAGCGCGGCCCGGCGCACCTCCTGCAGCTTCCTGGCGGCGGCCCTCAGGCGCGAGGTGGCTGCCTCGAAGAAGGCGCCTGGGTCTCCGGCGACATCCCCGAGGGAAGCGGCCCGATCCGCCGCCTCGAGGACCTCGGGGCGCGACCTCTGCGGAGGAACATGACAGGGGATATGTCGACCCCTATCCCAGGCTTCGTGGTGTTCTGGAGTGGACCAGAAATGTGGGGCCCGACCCTGGGATACAAGATGGAAGGACGTCCATCCTCGATAGGAGTGCATCCGAAGAGCCCCCTTGGGGTGTACCCCAGGGTTCCCCCCCTTGTATAAGCGGCCAATTTTTTCTGGTGGAACTCGGGGATTGGGGGAGAATAATCGCCTGCGAGGACAGCCCACAGCTGCATCAGCGCAAGCTGCCCGAGGCCCGAGGCGGCCTTCCTCCTCCTCCTCCTCCTCCTCCTCGCTCACGCTGCGGACAGTGCGGACAGTGCGGACAGTGGGGACTCGACGTGAGCCTCGCGTTTGGGGGACTCGAGTTGGCCTGGCGGGGCCGCCAGAAAAATGGCGGCACCAGGCCTGAAATTTGACGCGAGCTCCCGCGGGAAGCATCCCACGGAGACTGGAATAGCAAGACTGTCGCCAAGACCGCCAAAAAGCTGCGGCATGTAAGGAATCAACAAAAAAACACCCGGATTGGAAAAAAGTACTCTGAGACTTCGGCACGTTTATGCGAGTAATTATGGAATGTGCTGTTGTCACGCGGATCTCGGGAACGGGAGGGAGGCTGCGACAAACTGTTCCACGCGTATGTGAGAACGAATGGTGTCGTGATGCGACTGGCTCAAGTTACGCTCCAGGAGAACAAGAATATCTAGCGGCCCTCGCTTCTTGATCCCGTGCAGAACTGCAGAACAATAATTAGGAAGTCCCGGAAATCCTGGAAGCATTGACGCACATCATTACCACGACGTCTTGCTCTTCTGATCTGTAGTAGTTGCCTAAACGCCGGCCGCAGCATTTCAATCCGAATGGAATCGACTATGCCAGCGCCCTCATGAATTTGTTGTTTCTTCTCTGAGATCCGGCGTCGCAAAAACATCGCGACACGACACGAGCCCCAGACCCCATCTCATCCTGCGGCATCTCTCGAGCCCGATCGATGTGTGCGGGCCCCGAGGCCCGAAAGAGGGCGAAACCGCCAAGTTTGAAAGACGGGGGCCAGGGACGCCCCAGACAGTAATTCGCAACCTCAGTGCCTAAAAAGGCATCGCTACACTGTATGATCATGCCAGCGGGCAGAACTTTTCATTTCGCCTACGCGTCCGCAGGGGATGCAAGGGGCTATGGTGTGACTTGCGAGTTCTTTGATTCCGAGGCGGCCAAGTCGGGAGCCACCCTACAGCAAGTTGACGCTTCCCTCGGGATTGAAGCCAGCGGGGAGGCCAGCAGCGACTTCGAGCTGGAGCCAGGCTCCGACTAGCCCCTTTGAAATATTCCCCCTGTGTCGAGAACAGAGAATCCACCCCCACAGTAAGCACCCCGAAAAGCGAAGCCGTGAAGTAAGCACACCCAGGGAAGCAATCGAACAGGGCAGGGCTGTTTGGTGAACGCCCAGGGCCGCTCGGCATACACAACCGATCGGGGTCGTGGTGGCTGTTCCTCCCCTGACTGCGGTCGCTGGCAGGCACGAGCGCCAGCTTAGGAAAAAGCAGGGGACGCACGGCCGCAGTCAGTCAGACCCAGATCTCCGAGAGTGCCACTCATTCCTCGGGCCTCGGGTTCAGTCGGGCCTGTCCCTCTACAGGACGGATATTCTAAAAATAGGCACCAAAAAATGGGGACGATTGTTTAAACCATTTTGGAATATGTTTGGTGTGTTTCTTGTGTGTGTTTGTATGTTTCGCCCAAATCCCCCTGTAGGGGGACAGGCCCGACCTCGGGCCTCGGGGGCGGGCGCTGGGGAAGGGGGGCTCCGCTCGCCCCCCGGAAGAAGGGAGCGAACACGGCCGGAGCGTCCGCTCTCGGAGCTCCGCGCGGGTCTCTTGGACCTGCCCAGAGCAGCCGGCGCCGAGCCCCAGGCAGTTCTGCAGCCGAAAAAAAAGAATCAAGGAGACAATCGTTTATGACATCTAGGCCAGCTTCCCGGAGGTTTCTTCAAACCCGAGCCGAGTTCGGCCGTTCACGCTGAAGGGGCGGCCGTGCTCGAGAAACTGGACCTGCTGTCTGGCGAATTGGTACAGAAACGCTGGCCCAGGTTTTCGGGAGGAGGTTTCTCTCCTCCTCCTCCTCCTCCTCCTCATCATCATCATCATCATCCTCATCCTCCTCCTCGTCCTCCTCCTCCTCCTCCTCCTCCTCCTCCTCCTCCTCACTGTTCCTCCTCCTCCTCCTCCTCCCCTCCTCCTCCTCCTCCTCCTCCTCCTCCTCCTCCTCCTCCTCCTCCGATGCTCGATTCTAGAAGAAGAGGACATATTTTGTGGCAGAAGCGGCCTCGCGCGCGGCGACGAGGCGAAGCCAGCAAAAGTAGCAAAGCGCGGGGTCGCGGCTGGGGCCTCAAGAATCGCTTCGGATCCCGCAGCGCCTACCGCCATACAGCACATCCGGGCGTGGATGGCAGCGAGGAAGAAGAAAGCACACAACTGAAACACAGACTTTCGGAGGTCCTCCTCCTCCTCCTCCTCCTCCTCCTCCTCCTCCTCCTCCTCCTCCTCCTCTCTCCTCCTCCTCTCCTCCTCCTCATCCTCCTCCGCCTCCTCCTCCCTCCTCCCTCCTCCTCTCCTCCTCCTCCTCCTCCTCCTCCTCCTCACTGTTCCTCCTCCTCCTCCTCCTCCTCCTCCTCCTCCTCCTCCTCCTCCTCCTCACAGATCTCTTAAATCTGGCCCCCCCATGCCGGGCGCGCGGAGAGCGACAGAGGCGGCGCTGGAGGCGCTGCCAGGGGGGAGGCCCAGCGCAGATCCAAGGAATAGCCGTGCGGAGCTCCAAAACTTTACGTTGATGCTGGTTGCTCTCCTTCGATGGTTGCTTCTTCCTGGGACCTCGGGGACAGGTGCGGGGACCCCGCTCGCCCAAGCGCCTAAACCCGTGGCCTCCCGTGGCCTCCCGTGGCCTCCAGTAGCCGTCCCCATCGTAACCCGCCATCGTGGCCCACATCGTACACACACACACACACACACACACACACCCATAGGGGTGATGGAGGGGACTATGGGTGCGCCTTGTCGGATGGGGGTCCCCGCTCGAACGGGAGCCTCTCCAAGGGTCCGACAACCCGCACCCATGCCCATAGCCAGGCCTCCTCCCACCGACCCCGCTATGGGTATGGACGGTATGGGTGTGGGTTGCTCGCACGTCATGATGAGGATGCGCGGTACGGATGCAAGGGCCTTGGAAGGACATGTCGACACTTTGCGAGCGGGGCGCGGCCAGCGTGAGCGTCCAAGGATGGACCGAAGGGAAGGATGCAAGGGTAGCCTGGGAAAGTCGTTCATCCTTACTATGCGGGTTGACTGTCACTGTGTTAGAACTGCTTTGGACCTTCTGCCGCAAGTTGGAGGCGACTGGGGGATCTCTGAGCTAGATGGCCCCGAGAACATCTGTCAAGAAGGGGGGACAATAGCAAATCCGCTCAAAATCGGACCCCCGACCCCTCCTGGGGCCCACGCTTTGCAAGCTTGCACCCCGGGTCCGTTTTGACAGCCGCGGGGCTGACAACGGCCCCTGCAGGCAGAAGAAGCCAACAGAGACCTTCTCGAGCCCAGAACCCCGAGCCTCGCCCCTCCTTCCTGCTCGCTGGAACCAGCAAAGCTGCGGCACCCCAGTCCCCCAGCCGGCTCTCACTTCTGCCGCAAGGCTGCCTCTCGCTCTCACCCTGCAGGACCTCGGGGACGGGCGCGGGGGCTCCACGTGACCCAGCGACAGCGCTGGGTGCCCGGGCTCTGCCTCGTCCCAGCGCTCCCACGCCGCTCGCGGCAGCTCTGGCGCGTCGGCCTCCGAGCTCCGGGCGCCGAAGAGGGGGCGGTCCGCCCGGGCGGCGTTCCAGGCGCGGCCGACGTAGCAGTGCAGCACTTCCGGGGGGGCCGGAGGCTCTCGAGCTCGGGGATGGGAGTTCGAGGATCGGGTCGTTGTCGGCGTTGACTGTGCCCCCAGAAGGCTTCTCTCGTGGCCACGGCCAGATCCGCCTCGAAATTCTCGGGGCAGAATGCACCCCAGGAGAGGTCTGGGGATCGGTTTGCGACCCCCGACCCCGCATCTCTGGCGATAATCCGCCACCGTATCCCCTGGCACTGTGAGGCGTGCTAGAATGCCAAGTGTTATTTGGAGGGTTTTCTTTTTTATCGTCTATAAGGGACCCCCTCGCCCCGTCGCACCTCGTCGTGCGCACCAGCCATACTCCCAGGGGGTCCCTGGGCGGCCATGGCGCCTCCCTGGGGTTCTCCAAGGCTTCCATGACGGCCCAGGAGGCCCCCAAGAGGCCCCCAAGACGGTTCAAGAGGGCCCCGAATCGCCGAACGATCGCTCGAAGACGCCCAAGATGGCCTCAAGATGGCGCAAGAGGCTTCCAAGGCGCCCCAAGAGGCCTCCAAGAGGCCTCCCAAGAGGGCTCCTAAAGGCAAAACCTCTTGATTATCCTTACGTTTTTAAGTGATGTTGACGTTTTCGCCTTTTCGGCTTTCCGACGCTCCAAGACGGCCCAAGTGGCCCCCAAGACCACCCTGAAAGGGCCCAAGAGGCCTCCAAGAGGGCCCCAAGACGGCCCAAGAGCGCCCCAAGACGCCCCAAGACGCCCCAAGAGGCGCCAAAGACAGCCCAAGAGGGCCCCAAGACGGCCCCAAAAGGGGCCCCAGAGAGGGAACACGAACCGAAAATCCTGGACGTCCCGAGATCTTTTCAAGGCGGGGACTCGGATGAACGAACGGCTGCGCGTCCTGGCGCTCAGCTGTGAGGCACCATCAACTCAGAGAGAAAAATGAGACAGAGCATGTGTGTCACGCATGCTAGAGAGGGTTCGGGGGGGCGGGGGACCAGAGAGGCTATGTGAAGCAAGAGTGAGCGGAGCCAAAGGGGCGACATAATGAAAACCCCTCTTGACTTCCTTCACGTGCAAGCACAAACCAGGACGTCCCGAGATCTTTTCAAGGCGGGGACTCGGATGAACGAACGGCTGCGCGTCCTGGCGCTCAGCTGTGAGGCACCATCAACCCAAGCCGTTCCCAAGAATGTTTACTGGGTGGGCGGGCAAGGGCGATTATATAAAGACGCACGCCATTCACTCAAGAGGACTTTGGCAAGCTTCCTATTGAGGGCAGGCGGATAGGCGGCAGCGATAGCGGTCCATTTCGCACCATTCGGGGCGTTGCCCTCAAGCACAATGTGTTGACGGCCAGACTTGCTACAGGTTCCGTTGATCTGAGTGCACCGACGATCGAGACAGCTGCTATCCTGAACATCTATGTTCAGACACAAAAATCTCGTCCGCTTGCGCCAACGAGCACCTTCCTGACACTGGTCGAGACATCTTACTACGGCCCCCCGATCTATAAACCCCTGAACCTCTCTCGTGACAAAAACGCGTGAATTCACAGGATGTTCGAGTATGCAGGGAACTCTGAATTTCTCGCAACATCTGATGATGGACAGCGCGGCACGCATGGTCTTATTGCCAGACGCCAGGCGAGCAAGCTGCTTTGTACTCAGAAGATGTTGCGGGAGTCCCCAGGGCTGCGTTGCCGAGCGGATGGCCCCCACTCGGTCGGCAGCGGTGGTCCAGGGCCCACAAGGCGGTGCCGGCATCACGGCTAAGACGCGGCCAGCAGCGATGTCGGAGCACAAGCCTCGCAAGACCTTTCGTCGGGTCAGGTCGCCGCCTGGCCCGTGCAGCGTGTCCCAGAATCTGGCTGGCACGCCGATCGCCATTGCAGCGCGCCCCACGCCTCCTTTGCCACTGAAGCAGTCGGCCAGGTACTGGCCCGTCAGGCGTGGTCGAGCTCCCGCAAGTCGACCGGCGAGGCGCGACCCAAAATGATGTCCGCGAGCTGAGCCTCGCAGACCAGGAACACGTTTTGCTGCGCGCTGCTCAATGTAGCCCACGTGGCTGCCAGGCGTGCATGCTTCTCGTAGCGGACGACGCTGCGGTTGGTCTTCCACTGTCCGCGTTTCTGCACGTCGGCCAGCCGTCTCCACCTCCTCGCCATGTCTATCGAGGCCCCCGAGTGGCGCATCTGATACGGCACCACCTTGGCCTTTACCCGCAGGTCCTGAAGGCATAGGCTGAACATCCTGCAGTACTCTGGGTACGTGAAGTTCCACAGGCACTCGGGGTGGCCCTCCTTTTTCATCTGACGCAGCACAGGGTCCAAGAAGCGAATCCAGGGCGAGTCTAACTCTAGCGACACGTCCCCCAGGCCCGTCTTGCCCCGCAGGTCTTCTTCCTCCGGGAAGAGCCTCAAGGTCCAGAACTCGCACACCCCCGCCGCTGGCGGCACCAGGCAGGCCGGCTTCAGAAGCAGAAGGCTGCTGGGGCGGGCGTACACGCTGACGGCTATCAACGTGAACACCGCCATCTGGAGGCTGCCACGGGCCCTCATCTGCCACGCCATTGCGCACCACAACGCCAGCGCCCATGGCTTCCTTGTCCGCGGCGGCTCCAGGCGCCGCCAGGCCCGGAGGCATCTCCAGCCCCGGGGGAGGCGCCGGGCACCGTAGCGAGAGAAGTCGGGGTTGAAGTGCAGGACCCCAGCCATCAACTTCTCGGCCCAGGAGAGGTGAGTCCCAGCCTGGTACAAGCCGTTCAGGTAGCTCACCAACGCCGAGTCTACCACGGAATCGCCCCTGCTCTTCATGACCTCGTCGACGTCGACCGAGGGCCAGCTCCGACGGGCAAAATCCCGCCATCCGTCCCAGGCCCTCTGGTACTCGCGCTGCGTCGGGGTCCGCACGGCCTCCCGCTCCAGGAGAGAGAAGCCCTCCTCGCCGGTGGGCATCCCGTAGTGGCGGGCACGGCGCTTCTGCGACTGCGCGAGCCTGCGCAGCCGCGCGGCGCCGGTCACGACCTCGGGCTCGGAGCTCCCGCTGTCGGAGGAGCCGACGCTCTCTCGCGCTCCCCGAGCGGGCTCCGCTGGCACAGGCACCTTCGTCAGGTCCTCCACCACTTGCCCCAGGCTCCGCGGCAGGGGACGGCTCAGCACAGCCGTCTTCAGGAGCCCCGACTCGCCCAGCTGACGCTCCCGCCGAGCTGCCGGCAGCGGCTGCGGCGCTATCGGCGGCGCAGGGACAAGCTGCCGCGTGCGCCTCGCCCCCTGGCCGCGGGCTGACGGCTGCAGGCCAGGCTCCGGGCGAGACGGCGCCAGCAGCCGCGTGCGCCGGCGGCCCGCCCCACGCCTCGCGCCCTGCCTGGCCTGCTGGGGGCTCCGAGAGCGGCCCCGCCCGCCTGGCGCTCGAGGGCGCCCAGGCAGCATCGCGGGCCGCGACGCCATCGGCCGCCCGCTCGGGCCAGGCCCAGGCGGGAACCCGCCCTGGGCCCGCCTGGGAGCCCTCGAGCTCCAACAGCTCAGCCAGAAGGGTGGACTCAGCGCCGTCAGGGTCGAATAGCCGCGAGGGAAGATCGGCACAGTTGAGCTCACTAGGTATCCAACGAATCGAACAACGAATGTTTCGGCTCAGACAAACAGCGTGAAATCGACGAATCTGAACCAACAAGTTGAAACACGAGCTCCTTCCCCGATTGAAGCTTAGCACGACCGACATATTGTCACAGAGCAGCAACTGACGGATATGGGACCCAAAGACCGTGGTGGCGATGCGATGGATGCTGCTGACCAGGGCTCGGGCCTCCAAGGTCAAGATGCCCTCAGGGTGCTGCCAGGCTCTCGCGAAACAGGGCTCCCACAGGCCTGCGCGGAGCCCCTGGGCGGGCACCTCCGGGAAGTCCCTCACAACGTCCCACTGGCCCAGCTCCTCCTCATCTTCGGGAAGGCCCTTGAGTTCCCATTTTCCACCCTCACTCATGCTGAAGCCAGCTGCACAGAGCGCAGCCTCTCGAGCACTGCGCGCGCAGCGCCGGCGAAAGCGAGCTCGCTCAGGCACACGCCCGACTGATTCCACCAGCTCCTGCGGCCAGAAGGCCCTTGCCAGTCCGTAGCCGTGAAGACTGGCATCTGACTGCTGCGCCATCGGATTCCAAGGCAGCCACCAATCTGACTCCAAAAAGTACATCAAGGAGCTGAAGGCGGCCAGCTCTCGCCGCGCCTCGGTCCATAGCACGGCCGCCTCGTCGTAGTGGGCTCGCACAAAGCCGTGCACTGAATTGAAAGCTGACAAGGTGCCGCGCGAGCAGAGGCCACAGAAGGTTAGATGGCCCAGCACCGCCTCCACGGCCCACCCCTTGACACGGCGGCGGGCTAGGAGGCCTCGCACGGCCTGGCGGCAGCGCCAGAACCGATCACTGGTCACACGAGTGCGCAACTGGTTGCCGTCGATCTCCGTGCCAAGCGCCACTGCCATGCCCGGCACCAGTTCGTCCTTGTGCAACAGTAGGTTCAGCTCGGTGAACTCGCCCGTCAGCTGGTTCATCACGCCGCTCACGAGCTCAGAAAATAGCGAGAAGACCCCCAAGTTGTCGACGTACACGTAGTGCCTGACCTCCTGGGGCGCCCCCCCGGGCGAGAACACGAGCGGTGGCCCATGGTCTGACAGACTGGGCCCCCAGAGGAGCGCGCTGCTGCGGCGGCTTACCTCCTCGTTGGCCCGCTGGGCGAAGTAGAGAGACCAGCTGAAGCCCATGGGCAGGACCTGCCAGCAAGGGTAGATGGCCGTCGACGTCCGTACCTTGGCCCCCTCGACCTCGGTCACGCCGAAGGCCCCCGCCTTGGCCGGCGGCAGGCAGAAGTACTGCGAAAGGGCTGAATCGATACGCATCCGATGAAAGCAGTCCTTTACGTCCGCCATGCCGATGTACACCTGCTGCGCCTCCAGCGCGGCGCGGAGGTCCTCGTAGCTCGAGAAGCCCGCGCCTGGCAAGTGCACCTCGATTCTGGCGAGGCCCTCGCTGCTCAAAAGCTCCACCCCAGGAGGATCCCTGAAGTGGGCGTTCGTACGGCGGGCGTCGACTATGAGGCGAAGTCGGCGCCGCCCATCCTTCCACACAAAAAACATCCCAATCCTCTCTCTCGGTGTCAGAGTCCACCCCAGAATGCCAGCTGACAACAGCCGGCGCACCAGGCCGCGGTACTCCTTGTGGTTGAACTTGAGGACCGAGTCGAAGTACGGCTCAACGTCGGTCGGCAAAGGTGACTCTCGTAACATGCGCTCTTGGCGCTCCTGCAGGAAGGCAAGGGCCTCGCCAGGCAAGAGGTCCTCAAGACGCGGGCAGTCGCTCACGTCCGTCGGCATGCTGACGAGCCCTGCACTGTAGGAGGCGACCGTCGTCGGGCCGCCGCGCCCGCCATATGGCGAGCGGCCCCGCAGCAGCTCCCGGAGGGCCGCCTGCGGCTCCTGCAACTTGGCGTCCGGCTGCCGGCCCCGCACGAGGCCCTCGAAGCGCGCAAGTACATCCCGCTGCATGTCATTGGCTGGGCCAGGATGCGAGTCGTATCCCGACATCCAGTTGATGGCATCGACGATACCGTTGACCTCCGACGCAATCCGATTCTCTCGACCGAACTGCCTCGCCCTGCAAGACCTGCCGCGAATTCGGCGGCCTGCGTCGCCCAGCAGCGGGAGCGGCAGGAAGCTGCGGGCTCCACGCGAGGGCGGCAGGCCGCCACCGTCGTGCCCCGGCAAAAAGGGCCCGGGGGAGGGGCTGGACCCCCCGGGCCCGGGGGCCGTCATGGCCCCGTGGAGGCGACGCCCCTGGCCCGGCCGCGCCCGCGGCCGCCTCGGCCGCCACCACGCCCCGCGCCTGCTGCGTCACCTCCAGCTCCTTCTGCTCCGTCGACTGCCTCTGAAGGCGCCCCGCGTAGTGTACGCGCCCGACCTTGCGCCTGCTCTATCTCGTGCTGCTCCTTCGCCCGCCGGTGGACGTAGCCCCTGAGCTCTGGCCCCGAGACGTCCTCCACCGAGCTCACGCCCTCGAAGAAGCGCGCGTTCGTCCAGCTCGGCTTGGACGGGTCCGCGTAGGCACCCACCACTGCGGCCACGCGGCGAGTCAACACCTCCACCATCATAAGGCCGCCCATGTTCAACTGATCATAAACCCCGCCTTGGTACAAGGCCTCCACGATCGTCCTCAGCTCGTGCACTACGCGGTCATTCTGCCCGAGGCCCTTCATGCGGATGAAGAGGTCGAGCCAGAGGCGCGGGTCGCCACCGTGCCTCTCCATGTGCTTTAACATGTGGAGAGCCCCAGGCGGTCCGTCCACCTTCGCGTCCGGGTAGTGCTCCTGCCTCGACTCGCCTACCACGTCCCGCCATCGTTTGAACCGTTCGCCCTGCTCGTCGTAGTCGACCCAGAGCGCGCGGGCGTCGGCGTCTCGCTCCTCGCCCAGCGGCTCCGCCAGGGGAGGCAGCGCCAGCTCGGGCGTAGCCGTGCCGCCGATGGGCTCGGCGGGCTCACCATCCTCGAATGGCGCCGCGGCCGCAGCACGTCGGCGCTCGGGGCCCGTGGCACGCGCATGGCCTCTGTCCAGATCTTGCCAGACTGCGGCCTCCTCGGCCACGCGCCCAGGGGCCGACCCAGCGCCCAGCCGAGCGAGACGCACCATGCCGCCGTCGGCGGCCCTCAGCACTCCGAAAGGCTCAGGCCCGTCCTCGAAGCTCAGGCCTTCGGCGTTCGCCACGTCGACCTCCGCCCCGATCGCGACGCCGGGCCCGCCGCTGAGGGCGATCCAGACCTGACCCGCACCAGGAGCCTCCAGCAGCTTCCCGCCCAGGCGAGCCACGGCCATGCCCAGGCGCAGCAGGCCGGCTCGCTCCGCGGCCGACAGCTTGCCAGCAGCCTCCTGCCACGTGACCCGTTGGCCGCTCACGGCCACTGCCTCCCTCGGCTCAGGCAGGGCAGCGTCTATCTCCAGCGCCGCCTGCTGGCCCCGTGTCAGCGCGTCGGCCAGCTCGTCGGGCCCCAGCGCCTCCCGGAAGCGATACAGCCTCCGCATCTTGCGCGTCCGCAGCGCCAGCGGGAAGGCTCGAGCAGGCCCCGTCTCGGGGTTCTCGCAGCTCATGTCCTCAGCGTAGATGTCCCCATCCGGGGTCAAGATGACCCACCCGCCCTCCGCCACGTAGTGCAGCAGCACCCGCTCGTGGTCGACGTCGTCGTCGGCGAACCGGCAGACCACGCGCTCCCCTGGGAGCGCTCTAGTCCACCACTCCCGCCCCGCGTCTCCGCGGAGCCACCCCACGAGCGTCGACATGCCTGCGGGCGACCACCTTCCCAACCAGCCAGTGCACCAGCCCTCCGAGCAGCGCTCCAGCGAGCTTCTCAGCCGCCTTCTCGCCCGCCGACACCGTCGGGCACGCCCTCACCTCACAGGCCGGGCAGGCCGCACACGGCGGCGGCTCGCAGGCCGGGCAAGCCGCGCAGGGAGGCGGCTCGCAAGCCGGGCAAGCCGCGGCCTCCGGGCAGGCCGCCGCCTCTGGACACGCAGGGCAGGCGGGGCACGAGAGGTCTGGGCAGGTCGCCTGCCCTGGGCCCCACCCTGGCCCCAGGTAGGCCGCGGCCTCCAGCGCCAGCACCACCCAGGCCGGCAGCGCCGCCGCCCCGCCAGGGATGGCGACCCCGTCCATCGACTCTGGACCAGAGAAGCTATGTGAAGCAAGAGTGAGCGGAGCCAAAGGGGCGACATAATGAAAACCCCTCTTGACTTCCTTCACGTGCAAGCACAAACCAAGCCTTCTGCCCCAAGGGGCTTCCAGGTGGCCCCAACATAATCCTAAGAGGCCCCAAGGGACCCCAAAAGAGGCCCCCATGAGGCCCCAAGAAGCCCGAAGAGGCCCCCAAGAGGCTCCCAAGAGGCTTCAAAACTGCCTCCAAGAGGCCCCTGGGAGGCCTCCCACGAGATTCCAACGAACACCCACTAGGCTGATAACCCACAACCCAGGCACGGTGGCGGGACTTGCCGTAGGCAGCTGGATCCGCCGCCCCCTGTCGATTCATCGCAGGGGTGCCTGGCGTGCCGAATACAAACGGTTTTGGTTTTTTGGTTCTTTTTCCAAAAGAACTCCCCCTGGGTCTCCGGCGCGTCCCGCCGGGGTCCTGGGAGATTCCCGAAAATCCGTCCGTCAATGCCTTTGTTGACCCAAGTTGGCCCAAGATGGCCTCCAAGACGGCCAAAATGGCCCAGGATGGCCTCCAAGATGCCTCCAAGACAGCCAAGATGGCCTCCAAGACGGCTAAGATGGCCCCAAGATGCATCCAAGACGGCCCAAGATGGCCTCAATATGGTCTAAAACGGCCCAAAAGGTCCGCAAGAGGCCTCCAAGACGGCCCAAGAGGGGCCAAGAGGTTCTCCAAGAGGCCCGACGAGGCCAAAATCATTGATTTTCCTTTCCGACGGCCCAAGACGGCCCAAGAGGCTCCCAAGATCGCTCCAAGATCGCCCAAGAGGCCTCCAAGATGGCCCCATGACGGCCCATGACGCCCCCAAGACCGCCCCAAGAGGGCCCGAAGACGGCCCAAGAGGCCTCCAAGACGCCCAAAATGGCCTCTAAGACGGCCCTGGAGCACCCCAAGAGGGCCCCAAGTCGGCCCAGAAAGGCCCCCCAAACGGCTTCCGACGGCGTCAGACGGGCCAGGAGCCCACCAAGATGGTGGCTCGCAGCTGGCCCAAGACGGCCCAAGAGGCCTCCAAGAAGGCCTCCAGGAAGGCCAGAAAAGACCCAAAAGAGTAATTTCCGTAGGTGTTTGAAGGTTTTTGACATTTGCTTCGTGTTTGCCTTCCGACGGCCCGATACTGCCCAAGAGCCCCCAAAGATCGCCCACGGATCGCCCAAGAGGCCTCCAAGATGGCCCCAGAACGGCCCAAGAGGCGCCCAAGACGGCCACAAGAGGCCCCCAATACGGCCGAAGAGGCCTCCAAGACGCTCAAGATGGCCTCCAAGACGGCCCACGAGCCCTCCAAGACGTCCTCCAAGAAAGCCCGAAAGGATCAAAATAGCCTCCAGGCGGCCAAGATGACCTTCAAGATGCCCACGTGTTCCCCGAAGGCTGTCCAAACCGATTCGGGGAACACATGGTCCGATAGCTTGGCAGGTCTGGCCTCAACGTTCGGCCACATAGGCGCTTCCACAAAGGCAGGGGGCGGCGGTGATTCGCCGTAGGCGTCTTCGATTATGACTTTGTCAAAATCCCGGCGCTATCCCCCGATGTCGGCCCACACGGCCCGTTCTCGAGACCTGGGGCCATCAAAAATGGATACGGGACGCAAAACTACCCCCGTGCAAGGGCTCGGGAGGTCTGGGGCCGCAGGTGGAACAAAAATCATACAGTGTGTGTGGGCACTGGATAAGGAACCATTGGATAAGGAATCCAGGGTCTGGAAGCCAGCGGAACTCCAATCGCGGATTGGCCATGGATATCACCGCCGCCCTCATCAGATAAGGAATCCTTCAGGGTTCGAAGCCTCCTGGGCACATTCCTCAACCAACGCCCACACCGTATCGGAGGATGTCTGGGAAGCTGAACAGCGAACAGCAAGCAACTGTCAACGCCTGGGAGGGCGTCCCGAGGGCGGGCAACGGGCGTGCTCAGCACGCTGGCCCGTCGAAGAAGAGCGGTGAAACTTGTCAAAAACAAGTCATTACCAGCGTGAACCCACAGACATGCGTTATTGCACTGCGGAGGTGGAAGTTGTGCGGAGAAAGCTATGCGATGAAAGCTATGCCGTGCAAGCTGTGGTGTGAGCCCTCTGGAGGGTGAAAACTATGAAGTGGAAGCTATGTGGTGCAAGCTATGTCGCGCAAGCGATGCGGTGTGAAGAGCGGGTGGAAGCTATGCGGCGCAAGCTATGTGATGCAAGCCATGATATGCAAGCCCTGCGGTGTGCGATATGTGGTGTAAGCTCTGTGGTAAGTTACGTGGTGAGAGCTATGTCGCGTCAGCTCAGAGCACGGGGCGCCAAAGAGGCGCCCCGGG